TTTCTTACAAGGAGTTGGTTGGTTCAGAAAGTCAGAAAGCTGCTCCGGTTAAAAACCGCTCTTTTTTCCCCCCCAGGTCAGCTTTTTTTTTTTTTTTTTTTTTTTTTTTTTTTTTTTTTTTTTTTTTTTTTTTTTTTTTTTTTTTTTGTCTTTCATTATTTTAGCTCCTTGAACTGGGAGCAAATGCAAGATCTGCTTGGGCCAGAGTTGAACAGCACCTGAATTTTGGTCTGCTCTATACAACTCTGCCATCAGCTTGCTGTAAGTAAAGCAAAGCTAATTGTTTCTTGGGTACTTGGCTCAGAATTCTGTAGGTAAAAAGTGCTCTGTGAAATACAGATATTATGGGAATAATCCCATTTACTTCAGTAGTGCTAAAGCAAGTATATTTTTGCACATTCATCCCATAGTAAGAAATAAATGTTGTGCTTGAAACATTCACTGAGGGAAATTATGTGTGTTCAGCTAATGTATTTTTTAGACCATAAAACTTTAATCACTATCCAGAAAGTTTAGAGATTCTTACAAAGTAAACCTGGAAGCCTGCAATAAAATGATATTCTGTTTTATAGAGCTGTGGTTTACAGTCCTCTTAAACAGGTTCGGCCTCCTTAATTTGCTTGTTTTAAGGCATATTCTCATCTAAATAACACCAATAAATAAAGAAGTAATTGAGAATTTGGAGAGCAAAATTTGGATTTTGAAATTAGTTTTAGGATACTTAAATGGTGTGCATCAGTGTCATGTTCTGAATTACTTAACTTCCTCATGGAAGGAAGAGAGCTTAAATCACCATGTTTTTTAGATGACCTTCTTAAAAAATAATAAAACTCTCTTATTAATTATTCTCTGAATTATTATTTAGACTACAGACAAGCTAAGGCTTACAACTTAACRATTACCTGTCTTCTGCTGTTAGTTTTTATACAACAAGGATTATACGTGGAAAGCTAATTGCTTGGATTTAGTGTTCATTTGTAAGCAGCCKGGACCAGCTGTAGTTGCTGTTCCAAAGTTGGGTGGTTGCCTGGGACCCAGGTCTTGGAACTGTAAGAATCCAGCCAGAGTGCTGCTGTTTTGGCTGCCCTGTATGCTGAATTAGCTGTGGCCACTCTTTATGCGGAGATCAATTTCTCCTACTTCTCCCTTTATGTATATCCTTGTTTCATTAGTGCAGCTTCATAAAGCAATGAAGTTCCATAGACCAGCATGTTTGCCTATTTTAGCAATTCAAATGAATTTAAAACTCACTTCCACTCACTTTATACATAAAGTTTTGGAAGTCATGTGTTACTTCATTCTATAAACTCTTTACCATTTGTCTACTGTAAAGAAATTTCCAGACAAAGAGCTATTTTAAAGTGTAAAGAAGAATTCAAGATACTCTTTCAACAGTAAGGAGTTAATTTTTATTCATGCTACGACCAGGGAAAATAAGCAGAAGAATGACATTGTGTATGAGATCACAATGCTCTATAATAGTTCACTTATTGCATGACGTTTTCATGGGATGAAGATTATGTTGGTTTTGTGCATTTCTTAATACACCTGCCTCCTTATAAACCATAACTTGTTGTCATTTACAGCCTTATCCAGACCTTGGAATGTCTCTAGTAGTTTTGCAAACCCTCATGTTACTTTTTCGCACTATTTAACCTTAATAACTGATGAAGTCGAAACATTTTGCATTTTGATGTTCAAGTTTCCTCTGTAAATGCAAGTGGAATTTATTAGATGTAGCTCTAAATGAGAAGTGTGATTTTTTTTTAGGAGGGGGAACGGCAAAATTCAGCTACTGCTCAGTTCTTTTCTGCCTCTGAGAGCACCTGATTAAATGCTTCTTTTTTTAACAATACAGTTTCTGAGTGCCCGGAAGTGCCCCAGTCTGAGCAGTTTATCTCCTGCTTAAGACCCATAGTTCTTTTGTTTGATCATTCTTTTATTTCATCCCCAAGAGAGAACAAATCTTGTAAATGCTGATGGCAATCTGGRAAGCACTCTGACAGTCCTCATAGTGAGACTTCCCACAAAATACAGCTATGACAGTTTTCTGGCAAAACATCACAGGAGGATGCATGCTTTTTATATGTGTGGCAACAACTGCCAGTAAAGAAGGAAATGTATCTGTAGCCTCATCTTCAGCCCCTGTTCAATTGATACTGCACCTTCCAGAGCCCCTGAGCCARTGCAAGGATCTAAGGCAGGATAAGTTTCAGGTACTACACCAAACGGCTATCAATGGTAAGAAGATGGGAGCATTAATTATTTTGTGATAATTGTCAATAACTACTTTTTASCTTATTCTGTATATGAAGTAGCTCCCTCTTGTCTCACTGAGAGACTTAGTTCTCTTGAATTATCTCATTTTTCACAATGCAAATCTCTGGTACGCACACAGGAAGCTGCTGCAGTGCAGCTGACACGTTGTAACTCGGATTTCTGTGTCACATCCCTTCACTGGGGTAGATTGATGCATAGACTGCAGTAACCACAGGGGCAACTCTATGCCACAGGTGTCAGCAGTAGAATTTTCTTTGCTGCAGTTTTTTTCTTCCACTCCTGTGAAAATTATATTRGTATGCAAAAAAGAAAGGAGTCAGGGTAAGAGACAAGGTGAGCCTGACTTATGGTGAGAGCACTGTGCTGGAAGTGAAGATGAGGTTTTAGAGATTGGGATCCGGGCTTTCTGATTCCTGAATGCTGTGTCAGCTCAGCATCATTACTTCAGTCCTGGCAGCTGTGCTCTGCCACGGAGAAAGGCTGGCCCCTGCCTGGAAAGTTGCTGCCTGGCTGGATTTTCCACCAGGAAGACTGTAGGGCTCKGAATCCTGGTGATAGTGATGCCTGCTTTGTAGCATTTGGGAAAGCACCTGAATTCCTAATGCATCTGCATTTAATGCTTCTTATTGCCAAAGCYAGAGACAACTAGGTGTTTAAATGGTTTTTAACCCAAGTCTGAAGTGCCCAGTTCCTCTCAGCACTGCAGTCAGTCTGTTCAGACAACACAGGATTTGGAGCCCACTGCAAGCTGAACTGGGCTCAGCTTAGCTATGTCTCATACCTGAGGTTTCTTGAACCTATTGTTTGGAATTAAAATGTAGTTCTCCTTCATGCACAATGTTTYCCACATCATTTTGCTTGCGCTTTTGCATAATTAACATCTAGCAATCTAAAAAGGGAAGAWCCGGGATGCATCTTATCATGTGCCCCAAAGAGCACATTCATTCTTCAGATTGTCTGCATAGTGAGAATGCCGTATTTCCTCAGAAAGAGATTTCTCAATCAGTTTTTAACCATTTAATGAACTTCTTTCTGTTGCAAACCTCATGCTAGTCTCTAGAGCTATATAGAAGTCTTATAAATTTCATAAATGTTGGATCTATATATAGGGCTARTATGTTTAGTTACCTTGTAGATGTCTGGCTTTATACTGATTTAAATAAAAGCATTGAGTCAGATTGGAAAATGAAAATATTACTCATGTGATGTTTGTGTTCGCTCACTCCCAGGTCTSTATCATATTCAGTGATTTTGGAAAAATGCAGAATGTTTGCAATCTACTCATTGAAAAGTTAGGARCCTCTGTTACCATCAATCCACCTCATTTCTACCATACACCAGAGGCCATAGACACCCTTCGGTAAGTTCTCTCACACACCACAAATTTTACAGCCTCAGTTAATGTGAATACATAATTTATGCTGTTTGCAATGAGAGCAAGTAGTTTCCTTCATACCTATTAATATTTATGTTGGGGATTTCAGTATTTAAGTATAACTTATAAATTARTGCCATTCAGCCTAGAAGATAGAACTTGTTCTTGTCCCTGTGCAAAAGCAAAATATAATAAAAWATATTTTCCCTCTGATTTCCACTGGAGTATAATCTGCTGTGAATCTTACGTCAACAGAATTTGGCTGTGATTATATCATCACGTGTAGATTTCATTTGAATCTATTCATGAGGATGCGAGTGTGCTACCGGATGTTGATAATTTTAAGTACCCTTGCCAATTCCCATTACTGTTAGCTGCTGACATGATTTGGAAAGAACCATGTGTGACACTTCCTCAGCATCAAAACATGCTGCCCTACAGCTCACAATCTTGATATATTTTAAGCATTGACTATTCAAASTCCAGGCTTCTCCCACTAACGTGGGAGGGGCAGAAGGAACTTCAGTCTTGGTTGGGGTTTTGCCACTTTAAAGAAAAGAACTGCCTGGTCCGAGAAGGAAGCTCAGTTAGCTGCTGTTAATGGTTCCAGAGATGCCAAAAGTGAATGTCAGAGGTATCTACACGAGATCAGGAAATCAGGCCAGTGAGGTTGAGCAGGTGCTAGRATGCCTTGCAGCTGAGCCACTGAAATGCCTGGAGCAAGGGCTGAACTCTTGCTCTGCACAACACAGCATGGATGCCTCCAGCGTACAGGTGTTAGAAATGCTTGATCTCATTGGAGCTAATGAGGATGCTGACATTTTCTCCACACACTCTCCCTTCAATGCCTAAGTTATGGCCCAGAAACTGGGGGAAGGTGATGTGCCTTAGCATCTCTGCAGTTACAAAACCTGTAAAGGTAAAAAAGCTTAGAAGGAGTGCTGGTACGTCAGTTGGCCGTTCTTGTTATTGTGCTGCTGCTTCTACCTCTCAGCCGTCAAGTATGTGTCACTGCTGTTGGAAACACACGCCGGAAAGCTCAGGAAGTCTGTCGRCTGTTCGGCCAGGCATTGGGAAAGCCTTTATTGATAAAAGAAGAAGAAACAAAAGAATGGGGAGGACACATAGATGGTCATCAGTCACACTCTGCTGRTTCACAGACTCTGCAGGAAAGAATTCAGAATGCTACTGCTTATGCTTCTTGTAGAGTGTTTGCTGTGTTTGAGATAAAGGGAAAAGAAAACAGAAGAAACAAGTTGCTCTAGAGACTTTCAAATCCTACACATTTTCATAATAAAATTATTATTTCCTGAGTTTTTTGATTATTTTTTAATTCATTCTTGTAAGTCTATCCCTTAAAATTAACATCGCATTTAATTCTGAAAGTACACTTCACAACTGCTTATTTGATTCCCTGGCCCCTGTAAAAACTAGATATTTGATGTGCCAGACTTTCAGTACTCCTGGCTGAAACTGGGCTACATTTACACCTTTCCTCCCAAAACAAGAAGGACTTAAATCCCGATGCTGAGTCATGGCAAACTGAACATGCAGTGTGCTCACTTTTAACAAAATTCAGTATTCATCATAAAACCTACTTAGGAATGTTTTATTTCCTCATAGGAAAAAATATACATTTTATCCTGATGTCTGTTTGCTCAGGTTTAAAAAGGACATCTGTTGTCTGGGTGTACATTACATGTRTAGACTCTGAAGTACTCAGTCATGAGGGTAGAGTCTTTTCAACCATGGCTGCATAATGTATTTTGATCCATCATATCCACTGAAGTAGGTTTCCATATCAGGGTGATACACCTGCGAAAAAAATATTTCAGGTTGAAGAAGCATGAGAATTGGCCATAAATACAGACTGAAATAAATGAATTTACTACACTTTTTGAAAACTCTTTAGAGGTACTAACAGTGAGATTTTGTGTGTACCATAACCCAATTTCTGTCATCAGAATGGCAGGTCTCTCCAAATACTTCACAAATGTTGAACAGATCTCATGAGATGTTAAAACTAGATTTACACCAGCATCCGTGTTTAAGGTCAGCACTGTTTCTGACTGAAGCAGTTGCCACTCGTGTTGTTAGTAGAGCTATTCGGTATTTCTTTTAGCTGGATCAGTTATCTGATCCAATGAGGCAACAGGAACAGCAAAGAAGCAGTGAGGGAAATGGTGAAGACAGTCCCAGGTGATGGCCTCAGGTCCAACATGAAGATGCAAACCCACCAAGGGCAATCCAAGCCTTGCCTTCATGCAGGAAGCCCACAGTGAGCAGCTGAGAATGTCAGCTGGGAAAGGGTCATGACAAGTCTTAGCATTTTCTAATCACTTAACTCTTCAAGAAATTACTGTGCCTGTTAGGCTGCACAAAAAGCTGAGTGAGGGCAATCCACAGACCTTTTGAACTTGAGGTGTAGGCATGACTTATCTATTATTAATCTCAGCTAGACAACTTGGAAATAACCTGGTTTTGTGAGCTTGTTACCATCAGTCCCTCTAATAATCTGTGTGGAGAATTAACCTGTCACACAGGAGCATAAAACAATTGATACCTTCAAAGCTAATTCCACAAGGTAAATATTTAAGATGAAATATCTGCTTCTTCACATGGAATATAAAGGAAACTGAAGGTAGCCAGCTAACTGACATAGTGAAAGGTGCATTTTTTAGACACAGGCACAGTTTTAAATATTTATGATACTCATCTGGGAGAGTGTAGTTTGTGCTCCTAAGTTCAGGCATGTTGGCATAGTTTTATAATACAATTGGTGGCTAAAACAGATTGGACTGAGCTAAGGCTTCTTCCAAATAAGAGGTGATTGTGTGGTTGAGAGGGGTCCTTTATGTTTAGCAGCATTTTTGAAAGAGAGTATGGAGAGTCTTTGGGCCAGTTTGACTTAAATGATTCATTTGGGAGGTTTTCCCAAAAGGCAGAGGATACCAATCTGAATCTCCTGTTTGACTAGACCAAGCATGTCTTGTTAGATGAATGGTTCATCTACTTGCTGTTATTTAAATACAGACACTGCCATAATTTGAAAGAGGGCATCCACAACAGCATAGGGGTTCATTGCAGAAAACCACTTGTATGTGGCATGCATGCCTGAAGGCTGTTTTCTAGATCGGAGTTTCAGACTAGTTTAAAAACCGGCTGTGCCTTGCATAAGCTGGGAATCAAAAGCTACTTCAACCCTGATACACAAAACAGAATTTTTGGCTCCCAAAGAGTTTTGCAGTTAAAAAAGGACACATTCTTCAGTCTAGGCAGCAGCTGAACAGGAGATGTTTGAAATGCAGATTTTTCAAAGTAGAATTGRAAAACCAACATACTTTGCTAGATCCCCAGAAAACCTAAAACAAAAGTCTGTGTCTGCAACAGCCCATACATAATGGAAATCAAGTTGCTAAACACTCACAAACCTCAGCAGTTGGATATTTCAGAGTGGGTAGTACTTGAGTTTGGTCATTTTTCAGCTTCCAAAAACCCATGCTTGAATGTACAGCAGTAATTTATCTGCTTTCTCTATTAGTTTTCACTGACTTTGCAGTCTAGCTTGTATCTATTATGCCAAAGGTCAGCCAGATTTTAAACATGCAGGACAAGTTGCAACTGAATAAAAAATAAATACTACCTCTAATCCCATAATAAGTGTTATCTCTTCCTCAGGAATATAAGCCGTAGATTTGCCAAATCCATTTGCTTTGTTAATTAGAATTCGATAGTGAGGAGTATATTTTAGATCCTGTAAAAATAGAAAGAAAATAAATAGCCTTAAAGAGAGATGATGACTAAAGATTACATATTTTAATCAGTTAACTTTCAGTTGGCTTAACCTAAATTCACTCGTTATATAGATATATATATATATCCAGTTCATTTCTATGATTTTACCAATGTCAGTTTGGAGAATTAAATATAAAGCAATCAGAATGCAACACATGAAGTTCTTGGCATATCTGAAACATTTTTTAAGAGTCAGGAGTTTAATTAACCTTTTTTTTCCCAAGACCTTGCAAGAAATAAGATTTTCAATATCCCTGCTTTTTGTACATAGGYCCCATGGCCATCTGTTACCACCCTTCTTCCTTCACAAGTGGCAGCTGAACTCTAGAGAGGAAGAGACAAATTCCGAACATAATACTACCTCTGACAACCATGGTCCCRATCCTGGAGAGAGCTAAGGCAACTTCTATGGATCTATATATATGAATCTTCCAACAAAGAAGTGCCTCTGAAAACAAATCCTGCCACCATATTCACTGCTATCATAAACATTCCTGCCCAAAGTAACACACAATCKAAACACAAAAAAAGGGTGATGGATGGATACAGATGGAGTTTATGAAGCAGTCAGTATTGATYGATGAGACAGGCAGTGGTCTCTGCTCAGTGACTGAGTAAAGGTCTGGAAGTCAGAGGAAGGCATGGAAGAGTTGGGCTAAAAATCTGGCTGATGTTTTGAGGGATTTGCGAGGACCAAGCTTAGTAGTTCCTGCCTAAAGGTCAGAAGGCATTTTTCATAGCTGGTTCTTACAACATGACAGGCAAAGACAATTAAACCCCAAGACCAAGAAACAACACTTAAACCACTTGTCATCGCTATTGAAATTAATAAAGATGAACACAAGGCCATTGGGACAGCAGAACAATGTAAGGTACATAAAAAGAATCAATGTCTGCTGGGAAATCCTTGTGGGTTCAGCTGGTGACAACGCTTCTGAGAGGAGAAAAGAAAGCAAGGATGCAGGTGTTTTAGAAACCAAAGATGAGTGACAGTTGGATACAATTACATCAGGGAAAGAACCAAATGCACAAAATGGGACTGAATGTCAGTTCCCAGCTGAACATGAATTTTCTGCTATAAGCAAAGATTTTCATGTTTTCCTAATTTTCAGTCCTCTTTGACTTAATGATCAGTGTCTTTCTGCCAMTTAAGCAGCATGTCAGTGGCATACAGCACTGCATTGCCAGATTAGCACCATCAAGAAAGATTTAGCATCTGATTTTCAAATACAAGGACTTAAGCTAGAGAAATTTAAAGGCTTTAAGAATTTTAACAAAAACGTGTTTTTAAATAGCTTTACACTCCAAGCAACCAGATCCTCAAAAACATTGCTTTCTTACTGAAACTGATTAAACACAGAGAATTACTTGCATTTCCTAGGTGCAGTGAAGATGCCACCGATTATCAATAACCAGATAAAAGACTYAACAGCTTCTCAACTCTAGTAATACAGCAGGAGAAATCCATTCAGACATAGTAAGTTGACACTGCTACTTTTAAGTACAACACTGCATAAAGAGTGATTTGAGCAACATTAATTTGAGATATCTCCACCACAGCCCTGATCAGCAAAGCTTAGCCACTCAGTGGTGCTAAAGCCAAGCGATACTGGGACCACAATGCAGAAGCAGCAAAGGTACCACTCAGCTGCACAGGTGATACAGGACTCTGGAGTATTTCCTATCAGGATAGCAGGAAGTTGGTCTGTAGTAGTATTTCTGAGGGTYTTTCCCTGAGTTATTCTGTGTATGTATTAATAAAGCAAGAGTTTAATACATTCAAACCTGTTTCACTGGAGGAYATCTGGGTTGTAGCTGTTCTCCTGGAGTGGTAGCTTTCAGATCCCATCCAACAATGACTCCTGAATAGCCAAATCTTTTGTGAATTATTACCTGTCCCACACGGAACTTAATATATTCAGGCCTTGGACTGTGAACATGAGTTGATTCTAATTTAACAAAGAAAGAGACTTAGCAAGGGTAAAAGTTTATCAATTATATTAAACATTTAATTTAACATTAAATTATAATAAACATTAAATTATATTAAACATTTTAACAGAAACTTTTCTGACTTCCACCTGAATAGAACTGACTATTAGATTAAGAGGTGAAGTAAAGAAGAACAGGTTCTTCGGTTTTCCCACMAGAATATTAATTACTGTGTTTGACAGAAGAGTTTCATCCACTAAGGAAGACACTTTTCTATTTKTATGCCTCTGATATTCCATAGGATTCTTTACAGAATTTTAGAAAGCATTAATACATGTATGCATTGACAATTACTAAAGCCTTACATACAGTATCTTATAGTGCTTACATGTGGTAACTGATTGTGACATTTTTTTTCTAGTTTAGGTCACAGGATTCTTCTATTCAGTCTGATTGCAGGGCACTTATTTTCCAGGAACAAAGTGGTCAACTGTTTATTTTATCTTTTATGAAATGGATCTAAATCAGATTCATTTAAATCAAGTGAAAGCTGTACCACTGTTTCATAGGTCAATACAAAATACTATTCAGTAAAACAGATACACATGGTAATATCATATTGATATTACTATTACACAACACAGGGAAGAGGCCTTGGATTTAATATTTTCTGTTTTCTTCACTGAATATTATCAATCATGGTTAGAGAGATGAAAAAAGAAAAAAAGTCTACAATCTACAAATTAAATATAGAAATCCACTATAGAAGCCTTATAGGCAACATCATGAGTAAAATACAAAAGGAACACAAAAATTAAAATACCTGCAAAATAAGAATGGGATTTTGCTTCTTTGTGACTACTTTTAGTTTTGTTTTCTTCRTAGTACCAATTCCTAAAATGTAAAATTAATAGCCCAACATATAAGCAAGTTCTTTAGAAGATGAGTTTTAGTAATAATCAGAAGGTTAATTATCCTGTCTTAATTGGGATAAGTGCAAAGCTTTTGGTACAAACTTCTCTACCATTTGAAGCCTGCATGAGTTTTACATTAAAAACACTTTTAAGGAATACACAAGAAAAAGAAATTTGTTCCAGCAGAAAAAAAGGAGTTACTCTACAGCTGCATTAGAATTTTTGTATCAGAGGAAACCCAGAAATTTTATAGAAGTCAGTGAACACTATTCTGCACTTTATTGGCATGATTCTTCAGTATCTTTTGTAAAGTCTTTCAAAATTGGTTTACACTGGTATGGACAAGGTGTCAGGTGATGAGTCCCAGCCTAAGGCTGCATTGGTGCAGCTTTTCCTTCTGTGCTAGACTGAATTTCATCTGAATTTAAAGGGTGGGGAGTAGGGGACAGAACATTTAAAAAGGGAAAAGGGTAACATTTTGCTAYTGTGAAAAAGAGAAAGTGTAAAGAAACAATGAGAAAACTGAACATTTATACTTTCAGTTATGCTTTCAAATATTCCTTCTCTGGCAGTGTAGCAGCAGCAGTCTATGAACAGAGGTATTTGGGTAAAATTCTCCATTCATATTAGCCAGCAAACCATTGGTGCCAAAGAACTAAAGGTTGTCCTAGTCTCCTTCCTCTTTAATGGTATCTTTCAGTCTTGCTCCCTTCATCCTGCCTGGAAGAAAGTGAGAGCAGGTTCCTGTGCAAACAATGCTTTTTTAAAAGTTGTTTTAGCTCAAATGTGTAGGAAGATTTAAGGCTGACAAATACCTCTTAACAAAAAGAGGAATGGGCAAAATCTTAAGTTGTCCAGTTGCAGTTAAAAACAGTAGCTAATACGGAAGGTCTCAAATGTCATTCTTTTTAGGATAAYCAATTATTTATAAGAAATTCAGAAGACACAAGCAGCTCCAACTATATACAAGTAATTAATGGATCATTTGTTCTTTGCAGGCTTTAGMTATGCATGGAGCTTTCCACAAAGTTGCAAAGCAATTTATGGTAAACCTGAGAAGAGCACAGTTTCTGTTTGCATTCATAGACCATTCCCTTAGGTTTTTCTGGGAGCAAAACTAAGTCAGGATCCTCCACAGTTCAGAGGATTCAAGACCCTTGATTATTGTACATCGATCAAGAATAAAGGACCTTTGAAGGTGCAGACAAGGTAAAACCTTTGGAGTGTTTCTACTTCAAAAGAAATCTCACAAATAAACGCAAAGACGTCCGTGAACAGTCTTCTTAAATTCAAACTGTGTGTACAGATAAATGGATATAATTTTACTTTTTCTAGACTAATCATTGTCACATGGCCAATAATCAAAATTCCCCTTCTTAAYCCACAGATTTTCCATCTCTATTTCCTAATTCAGATTTTCCTGAACTACCAGATAGAGCATAAGAAATCCATCCAATGCTTTAGCAWCTGATCCTACAAACATGTAGCTGCTTGCAGTCATTAATGTGGTTGATTGTCCTGATTTCAGAGTCAGATAAATTTAGAGGATCATATGTACGGAATTACTGCCATGAGTTACCTTTGGTTTCACGTGGTGTTCCGTTTTATGTTTGCATAGAACATAGGCACAAGGATTTCTTAAAACTGGTAGAAAGTTCTAAATCAGTCTCAACAAGCAAATGAGAGAAACTTCCTCTTTGACACTTATTTCCTCCACACCTTCCTGCTAAGAACAGACCATGTCTGAAATCTCCTACCTTGTCTTTGAGAGCCACAGCTTGAAAAGATCTGCCCACGCATCGAGACTCAGGTAAGACCTTGCTGAGATGCCCCAAGAGGTAATTATCCTTTAGGAGTAAAAATTATCATCATGTTGTTTTGAAAACCTCCTCTAGTACTCTTAYACAAATCTTTTATATTTAAACTTTCAGGTTTCACTTCTGTAGCAAAGAGGAAAAAAGGGTTAGTGAMCACAAACAAGTTTTCCAGATTAATACAAGACTGCAAGTGAATAATCTTTCAGTCATCACTTGTACCAGTAAACCATATGTAAATTTTGGAAAATACTATTTTTCATTACAAGATTGCTTTCTTCCTSTACTCAGGCCATAGGAATTGTTTAATTACATCCAGACTCTGCAGCTTCAACTGTTATTTGAGAATAGTGAGCATGATATATTTAAAAAATGGTGTACATAATCAAAAGACTATTAAAAAAAAACAAGTTTTTGCATAAATCTAAATAGTAAGTATAGATTCATGCCATGAGGCCTGAAAATTATTTCACTCTGGGTCTTCATGCATAAAGCCAAACTTAGTTCTCTTTTCATCAGGCCAATCTTTTGCTCTTCCTGCTTCATGTATTGGAGTTCCACARATGAGCTACACGCCCAGTGCACTGCACAGGCCACACTTACAACTAAGTCTCTCTTTGCATGGTTCATTTTCAAGAGACCAGTGTTGGTCAGTCAATACCACTATCAAAAATTTGGATTTGTTGTCATATTGTGAACTGTTTATTTGGAGATGGATGCATGGGATTCTGTCAATACGCCACTTAATTCATGCACAAAATGGCACTCCTTACTTAACTCTGTCATTGCCCTGCCTTAAGTAATTTACTGGAATGAATTTTGTTGGTTAAGAGTCTGTGCTGAGTCATAATAGTCAAGAAAATACTTTTTAACAGGAAGTGTCAAAAGGTGATGGAAAATTAGAAATATTCTTCAAATGCCTTATTTTCATCTTTTGAGAGGGACATAACTCTTAGTAATGTGTATTGGAATGCCCCAAAAAATAATGAGATTAATAAAGRTTTTTATGTGAAGAAAAACAAGGACTGGTATTTGAATTCAAAAAGGCATCTTTAAGCAACTAAATACAGTCATGTTAAGCCAAAAAATGGCCAAAATGATTTAAAAGTTGGTTTTGTATAGGAATATCCAGTGTGTCCCAGCCACACKCCAGCTTTCCAGGACAAAGTGCTATTGGGGATGAGAAAGAGAACTCTCTACAAATAAATGCAGTATGGAAGGCCTTACAACCTTTCTGTTGTTTGGATGCGCTCGGCAGAGTCTGTTCCATACCACTGAGATAGAAAATACTGTGCAGGAAAAGCAAAGAGCAGCATGGAAATCTGCAGAAGTGCAGCTGCATTGATGTGAGGCATTCCAGAAGGAARTTTCGCCAAAGACGCTTCACTGCTCCCTCCTCTGAAAAGAGGAAGAGAAAATTCTTATGAAGAGACAGAATACACAGCTGTGAGCTTTGCTACTTGTGTATTACCTAAAAGATCCCTTCAGGTTCTTTGTTGGGTCACAACATAATGTACAATCTGTACTCAGGCATTTCAGTTACAGCCAGAGCACACTTAATTTWGGCCAATTTAACTGCATTAAATTTAATGGTACTTATAAAAACTACACTAAAGTCGACAGCCTCATGAGACAAAGCAAAAACTCGCTTTTAAGAGTTATACAGGCATCTTTATCTATTAAAAAAAAAAAAAAGAAAAAAGTAACTGAGAAGTTGTATCGTTGTCCAATTTGCAGTAAAACGCTGCCATCCACTAGAAAAATTCGTTGTGCTGCTTTGTCATCTAATTCAGTGTTTTGAAYGTGTCTGACACACCAGATTGATGGCCTCAAGAATAATCTGTTCCAAATTTGTGATAATTGCACATCTGACAGAACTAAGGGATTTGTCTTTCAGRTTGAAGGCACGTATAGCATCATACCAAGTTGATAACTTGTGCCACAGTCCCATCACTAGATTAGAAAAGGATTTGACTTCACTGTTCATTCCACAGGCACCATACCAGTGCATATTCATTATTTTTTCCTCCTTCCCCATCAAATTAAGATATTCACCTTCACCCGAGGAGCACATTTACTGTCTTTATATCTGTGAGGCTTTTTCAAATCAGAACTAAGACTTGCTGAAATTTGAGACTTTKTGTCTTTTACACAGGTGTGCTCAGACTGCTGAGGTTTACTGCAACATTTACCTACACCCACTCCCTGTTCTCCAGGGGCAGCTGTTGCAGCTCCTACTCTCACCTGGAGTGGAATACTCAGCCTAAAAGSACAAGCAGTTCAGTTGTGTCTGAGTTGCATCTAGATCCTGCTACCCTAATTTATGTAATTTGCAAAATAATTTGGTTTACTGTAATAAACACAGCACGTTGGAAAGAGAGCAAAAGTAGTCAAGATCCCAAAACAATGCCAAAGGAGGCTCAAAGAATATTGTAAGAGTATGAAAACATCTTCGTATGTGGTGAAGCTTTACCACAAACTCTCTTTTTCATTTCTTCATCTGCTTTAGAGCCACCAGCAAAGAAAAAACATCTAATTTTAGACATTATCAGTAGCTGTACATGTAGAGTACTTGTTCACCCTTGTATCTTGTAGCAGGGAGGAAGAGTCACAGATCAGTTTAACCAAATAGCCATGAGCACCCTGCGAGGCCAGAGGGCTGGACAGAACCCGGTCATCACTACCGCGCTGCCCGCAGCACTCAGCCAGCATGACATTACAGCTCCTGCCATTTCACATCTCCCTCGTGTTTCTAAAATCGGCTTTTSGAACAGTGGGATCCACCCGACAGAAAGGATGCGGTAGCATACAGAGAGTTAGCCCGAATCAAAACATTTTTGTGCATATTCCGAAGCACCCGAGCACCCCTCAGATGTGCTCTGTGCCCGCGCCCCCCCAGCGAGACCGAGCCGCAGCAGCCTCGGGCCGAGAGCGCCCCTGGGTACCCGCAGCCCCCCTGTTCCTGCTCCTGCTGCTGTTCCTGCTCCTGCTGCTGTTCCTGCTCCTGATCCAGCTTCTGCCCCGGCCGCAGCCCCCGCTGACCCCGCTCCCAGCCCCGCTCACCCCGCGGCGGTCCCGGCCCGTCCCGGCTGCGCTCCCGGGCGGGGCTGCGGGCGGCAGGTGGGGCCGAGGGAAGGCTGTGCCCTCCCCTGCACGACAACGCCCAAAAGGACCCTGGAGGGGTGAGCTCCGAGCCCGAGCCCCGGCCAGACTCTCGCCCGTGGGGGGAGGTTGTTCCCTTCTCTCGTCTTCCCCTCGCACAAAAAAAGCTGTCAGGGCAGACGGGATCAGGATTTCTTAATCTCAAACCGCAACAAACACCCGCGTCGACTTTACACCCCGAAAGCTTTAAAGAGAYTAAAATAAATAAAAATTTCTAATTTATTTCTGCAGGCTAACTTAATATTTCCAACTTCCTTACCTAGGTGTTTCTTTTTGTGAAGGTGGACAAGTGGCTTGAACCTGCTATGARTAGAAGTCCGGAGGTGTTCTCTCASGTGAAGTTTACACAAAGCTGTAAGCCTCATGTCGTGCCTGTCACCGTGCTGTTGGCACTTCAGAGCGCAGCCGGTGCGGTCCCTGGGCMCGGCTTTGTCACAGCTGGATGGGGGCACAGCTGAACGCGAGTGTCCGGCGTGGTTTGGGCAGCACCCGACACAAACCCCCACTGCTGCAGGGGGGCAAACCCGGCAAGGAGGCTCCTCTGTGTCACGGATTTCACTGTGTAACTTCAACAGAAACCAAAGTGGTTGATGGCACCCAAATCAGAGTGGGAGCAGAGACAGATTCAAACTGCAAATGCTCCAGGGAGATCAGAGCAATGGAAACATTACAGGCAAAGAGAAATTCAGCAGAAGCAAATGTCGAGCCTTACCAATAGAAAGGAAATGTTCCAGCCATCACGTCTCACTGAGCACAGCTGTCTGAAGGGCAAGACTCTGAAAAAAAAACCAAAAATGTTACCAAGCCATGCCTAGTGAACATGTGGGAAGTAAGTGGCCAGGCCTAGGATGGACTTTTGTAGATGGATTCAAACCTGTGTAACATGCCAGGAATGCCCAATTAAAAATTCACTAGAGTTTTTAATAGTTTGGATACTAGCCTAGAAATACAAATTTTACTTCAGAAAAATAGTTTTTTAATCATAGAATTATAGATAGTTTGTTTTGGAAGGGACCTTTTCAAGGTCACCTAGTTCAATCCCGCTGCAAGAAGCAGAGAACATCTTCMGCTAGATCAGCTTGCTCAGAGCAGCCTATCTGCCTCACACAGCTCACCCCAGGGAAAGCAGACTCTTTGGGGCCATTCTGGCTGTGTTTGCATCACGCCAGCCCAGGCTGCAGTGCACARTGGGACCTAATGGCTCCCTTGAGCAAAACCTCAGCAACCACGCAAACACCTGATCCTACCTCAGGGAGGCTGAAGGTTTCAAAGTGGGACTCAAGCAGCTTATTACTACCCAAACATTATGACACCTTCTTAATACAAAGTAAATCAAATTGCAAGACGAAGATGCTTCTTTTACAAAACAGGTTACTCCCCATATGCTTGAGCAGAAGTTTTCAGTGCAAGAGGCAGAAAGAAACCAACCCTGTGTGCTCTGTTGTGACTCAGAGGTGGGCAGAGAAGAGGCCAAAGCCAGAGGAAAATGACAGCCTCATAAATTASTATGCAAGAAAAAATAAACAACTCTGACCATAAGACAACTCCAGATAATCTGCCCTTTCTTAAGGCAACACTTAAGTGAATTTTCTAATATTTTTTTCTATATAACTTAACCACTGATTTCTCTTGTAACTTTATCAATCAGAAGAGTTTACCATTAACATACATTTTACAACCTAAAACACTTTACAAGCATTGAACAGCATAAATAAAGATTTTAGTTCTAAATGTTTAATATCTCCCCATGTACTTGTGCATGCAGATTAACCGCTGTCAGTGAAGAACAACAGTACAGACTGCWCATACACCCARCTCCTCYTGTTGAGATTCTAGTTGGGTAAAAATAGGCAGTGTATTGAGAGGCAGTCACTAACTAAAAACTTCTAAGTAGCTCCTTTTTTATTTCTTTCTTGCTCCTTTCTTTTTTGTTTCTTTTTGACAGCTATATTCCATTTCTTAGTCATTCATGGAAGCTTACACCACCTTCCTTAATGCTTAAGAGAATTCAAATCTTGAATGAGGTGCTCAAATTTCAAAAAAATAACCCCACTAGATTTCTCTGCTACAGAATACAAATAGAGTAATTCTAATATTTTAATAATATTCTAACTATGTTTGCATTTTAAATTACAGTCTTTATTATTTTGAATATCCTTGTTCAAAGTCAAATTCAGAGATCTGAGAAAAAACACCAATGAACAGGTGAGGCTGCCTGGCTCTTGAATGCTAACACTGTTTGAAGTCAGTACCTCCAGGAATTGGCCTCTGCAGAAATGTGATGCTGAATGAGTTGGYTACCTGCCTCTGCTCTTGCTTCCTCCTTCTTGGTTTTGGTTTTTTGTTTTTTTTTTTCCATTTATGTACCTACAAGCTAAAGTAAAATGAAAGGAAAACAGACCAAGTTTAGGTAAAAYCTCCTCATTTCAGAGACAAGAAAAGGAAGCATGAAGAAAATTTTCATGGTTGTTGCCAGACTAGGAACATCATTCCCAAACTCTCTACCTTATCTTCCCTTCAGCACTCCAACAGATTTCGAAGTACAAGAGAAGATTCATAAATTCTCRCTACWCTCCTGTAAAACAGTAAATYAGGCCTGTTGCAAAGGTTTCTTAGYGAAGTATTTSTCCRARTKAGAAAAATAAYCAGACRTTWTGAGCTTGAGTTTCCTGTTAACAGTAGGAAAAGCCACAAAAACTGTATTTTTCATTATAATTTGTTATACAGTAACTCAATCTTATGCTATTTAAATTCCAGTCACATTGTATGTTGCTTGCTGGCACTTGCTTTATTTTCACATTTGCTTCAAATAGCAACATTGATTAATTTTTAGAGCCATTACATTTTGCTCATTTGTCTTTCGGAAAAGTGACAAGTATGTTTTGCAAAGCTCATATTGATTGCTAGAGCAGGAAAGAATACCGGCTTTGGCACAAAAACTTTACACTTTGAGAAGAAAATAATCAGCTTCCATGATCACACAACTTCCTTCATTTAATGAGCGTTATGATCTGTCCTGATTACAGAAGAGGGGCGGAGTTTAGCGGTGTGGGTGTGACATGCTCCAACAGCACAGTCAGTTCCACATTCCCGTCACCCAGACATACCTGCATCTCTGAGGTGAGTGAGGGTCTCTGCCATCAATTCCTTGTGTCTTCAGGTAAGGAACRTAAGGAGGAAATATCCTCTTCATCTGATGAAGCAAATAACACATGAAATTAAACAGGATCCACATTTTTCTTGCATCTATTGAGCAGGAAAATGTAGATATAAACAAACCAACCCTGCAGTTTTGTGAAAACACATCCTGTGTCGACTTCTTTTCCTGGAGGATTAGAGGTTGCTACCCTGGTGCACATGCAAAAGTGAGCTAAGAGGACAGGACTGGCAACATGGTGCCTTCAGTGCCAGATGCTGCCGCTTTACATTGCCTCCTGAACTGCAGGGTTCAGTGAAAACCCCTACAAAATAACAAATGCTGATCTCT